TGATAAATAACATTTCATTAAGCAGGTCACACCTCTTTGATTTTCTTACTAGATTTTTTGTGTCTGTGTGGTTATTGTTCCAGCTGCTACCGCAAACAGTAGCCCACATAAGGGTGAATTATATGACAGAACACAGTTAATATTGACATTTTCAAAATCAATGAGGAGTGGGACCATCTCAGAAAGGGCAAGGGAGGGCCCACGTCTCAGGTTTCAGTCATCTGTGCGATTCTTCCTTCTGCTTCAGGGGTAAAGAGCTTTGGTGGCACAGGGGTTAAGCACTCTGATGCTAACAGAAAGGTGGGTGGTTCAGATCCACCAGCTGCCCTTTGGGAGGAAGGCAAGGCCGTCTGCTCCTGTGACCATTATAATTCAGTCTAACTGGATGGTTCCACACTGTCCTCTCTGTGTGATTTGAATGAGTCGGTGGCCGTGAAGCTTTCAGGCTTTGGGATGTGTTCTTAACTCACTCATGCACCAAGTAGCCACATCTCTTGTTTGAACCACTAGTGAGATGCTGGGTGGATCTGTTTTCTCTTGGAAGGAAAGAATATTCGCGTATTTGTTTCTCACTGCCTTCCATATCTGAGTACAGTTGGAACAACAAATTGACACTCCACGCCTTGTTAACTGCTCCCTCCTGGCTCAGACTATGTGAGCACAGACTTGAGGGATGAGGAGTGTGGGGGGCTGGAGGAGACCACAGGCCTGAGTGGAACACCCAAGCACTTCTTAATGTCACCTGCAGAGGAGGCCCAGGGCCTGGGACCAAGGTATGAGAGGCTCCTGTCTTCACCACTTCCCCTCCTGGAAGTGTCAAGCTTGGCTTTATTATGATTTTTTTGCATGATGCGTCTGGGAGAAGGAGCTTAGTTTTGGGGGAAACACAATATAAGGGGATCCACTCTCTTCCGTAACTTTCTTTACCCTTGAAATAAGACTACCCTTTTTGGAAGGCCTTCCTGTAGCTTGAACCCCTGGGGCACGATCCCAGGTGGGGAGAGGCAGCCCTGGAAAATACCTTGGTGGCCTCCGGGGGCCCCTTCACAAGGGAGCAGGTCCTTGGAGATCAGAATGTATTTCAGCCCAGAAGCTCCAGTCTTTTCTAGTTCAGACCAGTCCCCTTGCCTGCGAGCCCTGGGCTGCGGAGACACTGACCCAGTGTCATTTTGGACAAGTTGCTGGCAGGGAGCCCAAAACGGGGGGTGGGGGTGGGCAGGGGGGGACTGAGGGCAGAGAGATGGTTCTGGGAGAGATGCAGCCCCACGGTGTGTGAGGAGGGGCAGACGAGCCTCCCCAGCAGCTCTCTGTGACGTCACGTGGTTGGCCTGCGGTTTGCGTGTGTGTGTTGATCAGGATGTTCATGTTTTGTGGTCGTCTGATCCCTTGTTTCTGGCCCTCGGCTGCTGTCTGAGGGTCTATTTTTGGAGGCTGGCACCTCTGGCCTGAGGCTCGATTTTGGGGCATGGTCGGAGCATTTGTAGTATGTGGCTTTTAATGTATTTTTTTTATATATTCTGCCTTTTATGTGTTTTATCTCTGTGTGTGCGTGTGTGTGCGTGTGTGTGTGTGAGAGAGAGAGAGAGTGATACGAGGCAGTGTAGTGGATTAACAATTACCTTCTAGACAAATGAGTTCTAATTTTAAATCCCTGCTTTACCAGGCTCCATATTGATGCAGATAAATGAGTTCATGTTTCAGAGCCTTAGTTTCTCTGTTTAAGCTAGAAACACAATACTGCTTGTCTTGTAGGGTGGAAGTGTGCATGGCTGAAGTGCTTACATGGATTGACACAGAGACCGCAGTAAAGGGCTTGAGCATGATGGAGATCATGAGGACGGCATGAGTGAGGGCAAAGTGCTGGTCTGTTGTTCACAGGGTCACTGTGGGTCACAGTTGACCTGATGGTACCTAACAACGACTTAGTGCTTAGCAAGGTGTTTGGCCTGACATAGGTGAATAGGTGGTGGCTGCCATTCTTGGTGTTTGTGTACACACACACATACATACACACACACACACACAAATGACTCCAGTCATGGTTCTGGGTGCTGTGTGGACACCTCTCTGGTATGCACTGTCAGTGCACATGGCTGTTTCTGATCCCGATAGCTTCTGGTTTCTGTGTGTGTATCCTTGTGTCTGGGTTTCTAGGGGGGTGGGTGGGAACTGCCTGGTCTTTGCACTGGAGTTTGTACCATGTTTGGGAAGGGGCTTTCTTTTCCTGCCACCTGGGGCCTGGATTGGGGTGAGGACAGGGGAGGCACGTATGCGTGTGGGTTATAACCATGCGTGCGCGCGCGCACGTGTGTGTGTGTGTGTGTGTGTGTGTGTGTGTGTGTGTGTGTGATCCCCAGGCTGGGCGGCTGACTGTATGGGTGTGAAATCACCAAGTTCCTCTGGGCAGGGGACGTTCTTAGTTCCTGAGTCAGCCCTTTGGCTGTGAGCCACCCAGCGCTCACTTTTTCCTTTCAGAGAAAGTATTGCTTGTGGGGTCTCCAGAAGCTGTCTTCAGACAAAAGGACATTGGGGACACTTCTCTCTGATGGAAACCTCTACTTTTCTTGGTCCCCAAGATGCACCCCTTCTGATCCTCAACTCCAACACCCCTGTGATGCCAGCATTCAAAGAATGTGTCGTCTTCCCAGATCTGCTGGCTTTGTGGACCAGCCTTGGCCAGGACCTCCGAGACCTTGTCTGTCTCAGAACAAGAACACCCAGGAAGCTCACACTGCCAACCTGCCAGCCTGCTTGGCCTTGACCACTGTTCTCTCTCCTGAGGCTTCAGCTGGGTGGGCCAGGCTTGCTCATATTAGAGAGAGGCAGGAGGGGAGTGGGCAGGGCTGAGAGAGGACTCCAAAAAGACCTCTGGAAAAGTAGCAGTGGGTGGGATGGATGGCATTTTATGTCTGAACGGTTTTAGAAAATTCCTCTTGTGGAGCAAGAAGCAAATTCAGCTGAGGAGAGGTGGAGGGCAGATTGTTTTAGAGCCTCTGCCCTGCCTTCGACCCACCACCCCCAGGCATGGTGAGCCCCCCCCTGCACCCCTACTGCCTTGCTAGGCTCTTCTCCAGCCTCCCCGTCACGGAGTAGAGAATTGTGTCCCATCGCCTGTGGGAACTCAAGGCTGTGGCTGCCTCTCCTGTTTTTCCTTTTAGCTCTGGAGGGAATTCCATTGAAGAGCAGGGCTGAAAAGGAAGCTTTCTGGTCAGACAGCCATCCTCCAGGAATTCTTGATAAGGACCATGGCGATGGCATGGCTCCCAGCTACCACTCGGCTCATTTCACTTGCCGCTTTGCATATAGAATGTTGGCATTTCCAATCGGTTGGACCTCCTTTGATGAGGGTGGTGGTGGTTCATGGACAGAATTCTTGCCTCCCGTGCAAGGAGATCGGAGTTAGATTCCAGCCAGTGTACTTCATGTGTAGCTCCTACTGTTTATAATGTTTTCCTTCAAGCAGCATTCATGGCTTCTCTTTTCCCAAGACTTATCTATGTGTTTGGGTTTTTATAATTTAAAAATTTTTTTATTATGCTTTGCGCTATCCTGTTAAAATGTCTTTACACAATGACTCTTCATTATGGAATCTGCATAGGTTGTTTGGGGGTTTTTTATTATTTGTTTGGGCTTTTTCTTTTTTCCCCCCTTGTTGTGTACTGTTGAATCGGATCCGACTGGCACAGGAGCAGATTGCCCCTCCTTCTCCAGCGGAGCATGTAGTGGATTTGAACTGCGTGCCTTTAGGATTGCAGTGCAGCTTCTTGCCACACCAGAACTCCCTTGTCTATTTGGTTTTGGTTTTTTAAAAAATATAGAACATTTCATGAATCTGTGTGTCATCCTTATACAGGGACCATGCTAATCTTGTCTGTTGTTGTTATATGTGTTAGTTGCCTGTGACTCATAGTGAACTCTGTGTACAACAACCCTAAACCCTGCTCTATCCTGTGCCAATCTTATTGTCTCTGACACACTTACCCCCATTATCCCAGTCACTGAATCAATCCATTTCATCCTGGGTCTTCCTTTCCTGTGCTGTCCCTCCACCCTTCCAAGCACGATGTCCCTCTCCAAGGCCTGGTCCCTCCATGCAACATGTCCAAAGTATGTCAGACGAAGCTTCAGAATCCTTGTCTCCAAGGAGCAGCCTGGTCTCACCCTGTCTAGGACGAACCTGTTTGTCCTCTCAGCAGTTCATGACATTGTTCCAGTTTTAGTCTAAGTGCTGCCAAAGCGAGCACTCTGTTTGTTCTTTTGGCAGTTCATTGCTCTTCTCCAACACTACAACTTGCAGGTAGAGAATGAATGCAAGACAGGAGGACCCTCAACCAGATGGATTGACCCCGTGGCTGCTGTATTGGGCTCCAGTATGTCCGAAATAATAAGGATGGCCTAGGATTGGACAGGTCCAGAGCTATTGTTCATAGGGCCATACTCAACTCGAGGGCACCACCAACACTGCCCTGTCAGTGGAGGCTTGTGTGTTACTGTGATGCCGAAGAGGTTTTTGTGGCGCTTCCTGACGGGGCTAGGAAGAAAGGCCTGGTGATCCAGTTTTGAAAACAAACCACTGAAACCCTCTGGGTCATGGCAGTGTGTCTACGATCAAACCTGGGGATGGTATAGGACTGGCCAGAATTTCACTCCATTGAGCATGAGGTCATGAATTTGGGGCTGACTTGAATGGGTACTAACAACAGCAGTGCAAGTATTACTCCCATTGTACAGCTAAGGAAGCCGAGGCCCAGAGAGTAACTTATGGCTCTGTGGTTAGGTGGACAGTAAAATGCCAGCATAGGCTGTGCACTTGGACACCTGCATGGCCATGACTGAGAGTCTCTGGGGTGGGAATCCTTTTGTCTTTCTCTTTCCCTACTCTCAGGATATTGAGGTAAAAAGTTTTAAGGCCCAGGGAATGGCAGCTTTAGCTCCTTCCTTGAGAGACCAGGAGATGCTCCTGCCCCACTGACCTCTTCTGTCTGCTCTCTCCCTTGCAGAGGTGGTGGGACACACGCAGGGGCCGCTGGACGGAAGTCTCTATGCCAAGGTGAAGAAGAAGGACTCCTTGCACGGCAGCACCGGGGCGGTCAACACCGCGCGGCCCACCCTCTCGGCCACCCCAAACCACGTGGAGCACACGCTGTCCGTGAGCAGCGACTCGGGCAACTCCACAGCTTCCACCAAGACTGACAAGACCGATGAGCCCGCCCCGGGCCCCTCCGGAGCCCCCGCGTCTCTGAGTCCCGAGGAGAAGCAAGAGCTGGATCGCCTGCTCAGCGGCTTTGGTTTAGAGCGAGAGAAGCGAGGCCCCATGTACCACGCCCAGCACCTCAGGTCCCACCAGGCGGGGGGCCCGGCCGTGTCCTCCACTGGCCGCCACGTCGTCCCAGCCCAGGTGCACGTCAATGGCGGGGCCTTGGCACCTGAGCGAGAGACAGACATCTTGGATGATGAACTGCCCAACCAGGATGGACACAGTGTGGGCAGCATGGGCACTCTGTCCTCCCTGGATGGGGTCACCAACACCAGTGAGGGAGGCTACCCGGAGGTCCTGTCCCCACTGACCAATGGTCTAGACAAGTCCTACCCAGTGGAGCCCATGGTCAATGGCGGGGCCTACCACTATGAGTCAGCTAGCCGGGCAGGCCCTGCCCATGCTGCCCACCCAGCCCCCATAAGGCCCTCCTACTCTGCACAAGACAGCTTAGCTGGGTACCAGCGAGAGGGACCCCACCCATCCTGGGCACAGCCAGTGGCCGCCTCCCACTACGGCCATGACCCCAGCAGTATGTTTCGCTCACAGTCCTTTCCGGAAACTGAATGCCAGCTCCCCCCAGCTCCGGCCCGCAGTGGAAGCAGCCGGGAGGCCGTGCAGAGGGGGCTAAATTCATGGCAGCAGCAGCAGCAACAGCAGCCTCGTCCCCCTCCCCGCCAACAGGAAAGGGCCCATTTGGAGAGTCTAGGGCCCAGCAAACCCAGCCCTCAGCTGCTGGCAGAGACCCCCACCCCTGGTCTCCCCGAGTTCCCGAGGGCAGCCTCCCGCCAGGAGATTGAGCAGTCCATCGAGGCCCTCAACATGCTGATGCTGGACCTGGAGCCAGCCTCAGCCGCTACCCCTCTGCACAAGTCCCAGAGCGTCCCAGGGGCCTGGCCAGGGGCCTCCCCACTCTCCTCTCAGCCCTTCTCTGGATCCTCCTGCCAGTCCCAGCCACTGACTCAGTCTAGATCTGGCTACATCCCTAGTGGGCATTCCTTGGGAACCGCTGAGCTGGGCCCACGGGCCTCCTTGGAGTCCGTCCCGCCTGGCAGGTCTTATTCACCTTACGATTATCAGCCATGTCCGGCTGGGCCTAACCAGAGTTTCCGTCCGAAGAGCCCAGCCGCCTCCTCTTCGCCTGCCATTCTTCCGAACACCCATGCCCTTCCCGGGCCTCAGCAGCCGCCGACCTCTCTTCCTGGCCTCACAGTGCAGCCTCAGCTTCCACTGAAAGAGGTGACTTCAGACCCATCCCGGACTCCAGAGGAAGAGCCTTTGAACCTGGAAGGGCTGGTGGCCCACCGGGTAGCAGGTAAGAGCCTCAGGGACCTTTGACCCTGACTATCCCCCCTCTTTAATTCCCCCCCGGCCTGCTCCTACTTTCTTTGGTCTCAGCTAGTCTTGCTGGAGGGTGGGGTACAGACACCACTACTGTCCCCTGATTGGTGCTTCTTGGACTTGAACGGGGACTGCCAGGTGACCTGAGCTGGCCTTGCCTCGCTGCGTTCATGCTTGCAAGGCACCAGAGCAGGCAATGAGAATCAGACTTACAGTCTAGTGAGAGGACAGATTCACAGACAGATAATCCTACAAGAGCACAGTGTGTGCTGTGGGGGAGGGCAAGGAAAAGCCCAGAGCCTGGGGGAGTCAAGACCTACCCCCTCAGGCAGTCAGGGAAAGCTTCCTGGAGGTGGTGACTTTGGGGCCAGAGTGTAGCTGTAGATGTTCTAGGCAGAGAGGAGACTTTCTGTGACTGCCTGGAGTGTACCATCCTCACACTTGAGTTCATAGGGAATGAGTAGGAAGGCCTGACGGACATCTTCACAGATACTCTTTCCCTCCTGAGCCTTCCTAAGGCTGCTGAAGCTGGAGAGGGTGTTCTTTGTTCCAGTGCCCCCCTCCAGGGGTCTTTCAGAACATTTTTTGAATTAAAAAAAAAATAAAAAATCACCCTTCTTTTGAGGACAAAATCACCCTTCTCAGTCAGATTTCTCCTAGCCTTCACTGTGGGTCAAGCCTGTGTGAGAAGCAAAGCTCCATTTTCTTATCAGAGGATGGATATGTCTCCCTGGAGAGAGAGGAGAGTGGTGGGCTTATTGGAGAGGTAAAGGCAAAGAAGACTCCTGTACGACGAAGCGTCCAGTCCCACGTTGGGCAGGACAGCTGAGGTCTCCCTTTCCTACTAGCCCAAGCTCATGACCATTCCATGATGCAGCCAGAAATTGCTTAGGTGACATTGTGGGTTGATTTTGCTGTGGAGGTAGAATGAGGCAGGGGTGGAACCTGAGAGTACGGGCCTAGGTGGGTCTTGTGCCACCCCTCTGCTCAGGGAGAAGGGGAGTAGAGCAGCTGGCCTGTTCTCCACCCCTTTTCCTAAATTTAGGGAATTGAAAGGAAGTTGAATCACAGGCCAGCTGCTGGGATAGGAGACGCCCTCCCTGGGGATGAGAAGTGGGCTTGGGGAAGCAGCTGAGGGTGCAGGCCAGCTGGCTCTTGGGTTGGATCCAGGTCCTGGGTGCAGGGCAGGGATGCCCTCTGCCTGTGCTTCAGAGCAGAACGCCCAGCTCCAGTCCCCACTGTGCCAGGTGTGGTGACCAGAGAGCTTAGAGAATGCAGGGACCTGTCCTGGAGCTCCAGTCTCCCAGTCCACCCTGGACTTCTGCACTGTGCTCAAGGTTCAGGGAGTAGGAGGCCTTCCTGCCCACATTCACATTTCTTTTTCTTCTAAATGTTGGCATTGTTAGAGATTTATCAAGACCTAGGCCAGCCATTTCCTTTAGGACATCCTGTCCAGTCTCTCCTTCAAGGCAGCGTGGACTTTCCTCTACTTCAGTGTAACCTCAGAGGCCCTTGAAGGCTCTTCTCAGTGATACCTGTGACCCCAGACTTTGCCTGGAGTCAGGGTTCATCTCTAGAAGGTTACCTGGTCAGGGGGGAGAGAATAGCAAATAATCAGTTTTTTACCCCCAAATACCTAGTGAGCACCAGAGAAGGCTAAGCTCCTCTTGGTCTGGGATTGAGCATTTGGCTGGAGGAAGGGAACTGCACTGAGTTAAAAGTTTCTCTGAAGTCTGTGGAGCTTTTCACAAGGAAGGTCTGATTCCATCTCCAGGAAATCAGAGGACTTGTACAGTTAGGTAGAAAGGAAAGACTGGATTCTATGGAGATGATGGTTCTAGGTTCACATTGGTAGCCATCACCTGTACAGTATGTGCAGGGACCTCATAGGATGATTACATGAATATAGTGAGAAGAGTCCTGCTGGGCATAGCACAAGGTGGTGAAAGTCTCAGGGCCGTCAACCTCCTTACCTCTCACTATCCCCGTACCACTGTCTGTCTCTAATCTAGGGACACAGGCTGCGCAACAAGAGCTTTGTTTAACTCTCCTCTCTCTGTCAGAGGCACATGGCTGGATGGAACTGGAATGGGAGTACCTTAGCCCTTGGTGTACTTGACCCAACTCATACTGCCTTGAAGAGAAGATGACTTAATATTTGTAAATTTTCAGAGCCAGTCGTGAAACTATGGATAACTTTAAGTTGATCACAGTAGTAGCATTTACACCACAGCAGTTGGCAGTTCATCTGCTGGAGGGCTGGTCTACTGTTACCTTTACCTGAAGATCAAAACATAGGATGAGTTGCCATATAACGTTAGCATGGTATGCTCCATGGAGTGGTCCCAAAGAGGCGGCTGATTCATTCCTTATCCCATATCTGGATGTCTGAGCTTTTTTCAATTTTTCTTTTTTTAAAATTAATTTTAATGAACATTTACAGAGATTTTTAATTTCCATTCATTCATTGTTGCCTTTTTCTCCCTGTGTCTGAGCTTTTGACCCTCCTGAATTCACATTTAACAGTGATCCTTCCCTCTTATTTATTGTTTTTGAAGGAAGATAGTGAGGCTACCCATAACTTCCTGGGGGTTTAGTTCATTTCTTAATATTTTACAGAGCCATGGTGTGAGGAATAAAGAGGAGGTGGGCAGGATTCAGGAGACGTCTTTTTTAGAAGCAAGATGGATTTCTTTCCCTCTCCCAGAGTCTTTCCTTGGAGCTCGTCCAAAGCTTGCTTAAGAGGAAACCATAATCCTAATGGACCTTGGAAGACTGTCCACCTGGTAGTGAATCTCTCCTCAGCTTTATCTTTCCTGCCAGCTTCCAAGGTCTTGACCATCAACTTCCATATCCTCTAGCCTCTTAGGCCTTGGAGGCCAAGTATTCACAGCCAGTAAGAATTGGCACACAGTGTCGTCATTCCCCATCCCTTCTGGCCACCACCTCTTCTGCTGTGAATGACTCAGTAAAGAGAAGGGAGGAGCTGTATAGAGGTGACATTGTATTTTGTGCCCACGGGCTACAAAGTTGCCACTTCAGTTAATGCTCTGTCATCAACAGACTTTCTTACACCTCCAGTCCCAAAATGCAGTCCCAAGTTCTGAGGATCCAGCCTTTTAGGGGGTCTGCAGTGGTTTATCCAGGTAAAGGGACAGAAATAGAATAGACAGGGCAACAGCCTGAGAGCCAGTGAGGGTAGACTCCAGCACCATCTTTTGATTATTTCTACATGCTGTTTCAAGAAGCTGTTTAATAAGCTTCAGGATGAGTAATCCTGGGAAGACAGACTCAAGGGAGGACCTTTTTATGGTCAAGAATTTGATCTGATTTCTCCTGGCTTTTTTCTTAGATCTTTTCCACCTTGGCTGCCCTCCACATCTCACTATTATTCATTCTGCTTTGACCCAACCACCCGTTAAATCTTATTTCACATTAGAACTCATAGAAAGTAGGGACAGTTTTTGTTTTAGCTTGATTAAGGGATTATAAACCTATAACACAGCATATTTTCTTGAAGACATTAGAAGAATTTCCATTGCAGTCAGGGATAAGATAAAGTCAGTTAACACCTCTGGTACTGAGCAATATATTGACTGGCCTAGTAAATGCAATAAGACAAGAGAAAAAAGTAAGAGAGTTGGTGAGTCCAATCAAATTACCAGATGTTCTTGATTATGTGTCTAGACTGATCTCTGGTGTCTTCAGAGGTCAAGATTTCAGTGAATACTGGAAATCAGAGATGGCTGTTATCTTTAAGGAGTTTGGTAGAAAAAGGAAGAGAATATAGTACTCCCATATAGAATATAGTACTTCCATATAGAATATAGTACTTCCATATAGAATATAGTACTTCCATATAGAATATAGTACTTCCATATAGAATATGGAAGCAGGAGTGGCATCCACTTCCTAAATAACATGCCTCTGGAAACTATGAACTTTGAGAAATGACGATAGTTGAAGAAAGGCTTCAGGTCTTTTGTTCATAGGGTTGCTATGAGCCATGCTTGACTCGACGGTAATAGACAACAACAACACAATACTAAAATGAAGCCATTTGTAATAAGAGAAGTACAGAGAAAGTTCTAGGCATGAAGAGAAGTAGGATAGTGGTCTCTTAGAGAGCCTGAAGAGATTCTGTGTTGAGTGTGAGTTTTCAGCTGAGTCTTGCACTGTGTGGGCCACATACTGAAAATAGTGAAGCCACTGAGAGAGAAGGTTTATGATGAACAGTTGCATGAAGACAGGGAAACAGGAAATACTTGAAGAGTGGTACGTAGATTGAAAGCATATAGGAAGAGTCAGGACAAGGAGCCTGGGGCCCGAGACCTATCTCTCTATGCCTTAGACGACAGAGCTTGAATTTCACCCAGCAACAACATGGAGAGCCAAAAAATGTGCTCTAGTTAGGGGACTATGTGGAGAACAGAGTTGTCTGTTTGAAAGATGTATCTGACAGAAAGGACGGAAAGTAGAAGCCTTCTCTTAAGTTCTAGGATTATTAGATAGCCTAGGTGCTGGAAGGGAGCTCTGGTATCCTAATGTTAAGAAGCTGCACTGCAATTCCAAAGACACACAGTTCAAAACCACGAGCTACTAGCACTATGGGAGAAGGATGGGCGGTCTCCTCCCCTGTGATTAACTGCCTATGAAAACTCACTGGAGGTTCAGCTATGGGTTGGTTCCAACACAAAGGCACATGACGGTGACAAGGCGCTGGAGGACTGGATTAGGGTGCTGACTATGGACATGAAAAAGATGAGATGGAAATCAAAGGCACTGTGAGAATAGGACCAATACACTTTCAAGTTGATTGACTAGTGAGTGTGGGAGAGGGAGACATCAAAAGGATTCTGGAAGCCTATCAGTAAAAACAGTGGTTGTTCCCTTAACCAGTAAAACTGGTTTGGTACAGGATGAAGAACTCGTGTTAGATAAGAGTTTGAGGTGACAGTGTAGCCTCTAGGTAGA